GGCCAGCAGAGCATCCTGGGAAGGCTGGAGGCCTCCTAATTCGAAATAAGTGTCTACACAGCGCTTATTTCGAAATAGCAATGTCAAATTTGGCGTTATTTCTCGTGGAAGGAGATTTACCAATTTCAAAGTAAGCGCTCCGCTGTTTTGATTTAATTTTGAAATAGCGGTTTGGCTGTGTAGATGCAAGGAAAGTTATTTCAAAATAACTTCGATGTGTAGACATACCCTGAGCTCCTCCGTAGTGGCTTTTAGTGGTGCCTAAGCCTAGAATCTGTCCTCTTGATTGGTGTGAAAGAACTTCACCTTGCACAATACACAGGGGCTACGTCTAGACTGGCATGATTTTCCGCAAATGCTTTTAACAGAAAAGTTTTCCGTTAAAAGCATTTTCGGAACAGAGCGTCTAGATTGGCATGGATGCTTTTCCACAAAAGCGCTTTTTGCTGAAAAGTGTCCATGCCAATCTAGACGCACTTTTCCTCAAAAAAGCCCCGATCACCATTTTCGCTATCGGGGCTTTTTTTGCGGAAAACAAATCTGAGCTGTCTACACTGGCCCTTTTGTGCAAAAGTTTTGCGCAAAAGGACTTTTGCCCGAACGGGAGCAGCATAGTATTTCCACATGAACACTGACAAACTTACACGAGATCGTCAGTGCTTTTGCGGAAATTCAAGCAGCCAGTGTAGACAGCTGGCAAGTTTTTCCGGAAAAGCGGCTGATTTTCCAGAAAAAATGGCCAGTCTAGACACAGCCCCTAGGGTGAATTACCCAACCTTTCAGTTTGCCCTTCTGCAGCATATAGGTAACTTCTGATCTACTTGTGAAATGGAATTGATGTTCGTACCATGTTCTATGATCCCCAGAAAAAGGTGAGAGCACAACGTCACCAACACACACAGTGGCTACGTCTACACTGGCCCCAAATTCCGGAAAAGGGATGCAAAGCAGGTAAGTCAGAATAGGGAAATCCGCGGGGGATTTAAACATCCCCCGCGGATTTAAATAAACATGTCCGCCGCTTTTTTTCCGGCTTGGGGAAAAGCTGGAAAAAAAGCGTCTAGACTGGCGATCCTCCGGAATAAAGCCCTTTTCCAGA